GTTTGAACAGGTAGCAATGCAAACAATACGCCGCATCCTTTTCTATACTGTATTCCAACCAATGAAATTCGGCGAACCATTCTTTCCGAAAACATCTATTATCATTCCCCATCGGTCTTCTTGGAAAATCATGTTCATATGGTTGACAAGGACCCTTCTCCAAGTATGACATCCTAACAACATCTCTAATATTAGGATCATATGATTCGATAGGGGGGTGTATCCCTGGATCAGATACAAGGTCATCCACATTAAATTGAGCCTGAGACTTCTTTGTGTTATTCAATAACTCTTGTGCTCGACTAGAATCAGTGGCGGGACTAGATCCACAACTAGAAGAAGAAGAATTGGGTATGGACTTTCGTTTTGGTTGAAAAAATCGTTCCATAATCTGCAAAATGTCATCTTAAACGTAAATTCCCAAATTAATAATCATTCCTAATATCATATTCCCTCATCAAATCATAAATTACTCATTATAAATCACAATTCGCAAATACAATTTCGTAAACATAAATTACCTAATTTATGAGAAGGGAAACTAAAAGACATGGTTTGATCCAATATTCTCAAATAAGAATCAGTACCTCTGGACTCTTTTTATTTTTCAATAAAATGTAAATTTGAGACATGCTTGGAGAAAAGATAGGAATAGCTACAATCATATTGACGTGAATTACAAATTAACACACATTAACTGTTAGCTAAATTAATCAATAAAATACCAATAATATTGGAAAGAATTAAACATTGCAAAAGAAATCTGAAAATTAAGAACTTAATCACTGCACATCATTATCAGGTGGAGCAAGAGGCAGAATATAGTATAAAATTGGAATGCAAATGCAAATGATGATTACAAAAGAACCCCCGATTTTTATATAGAAGTGATTTACCAAAACATAGCTGACTCTAGATAAGTACGGGACATTCTTTGTTGATTTGGCTGGCTGACCAAAAGGTAGTGTGAGTTGTTACACAAATTTATATACCTATCATTATCTCTTAATCCTTTTTCTTGGCAATTGACATATTCATCTTCTTTTTCAATATTTTCCAGCTTCATTTACATTAATTAATTTAATTAAGGGAACACGAAGTATGCTATTTTGTCAAACATCCATAGTACAACATGGATAATATTCATTCGTACTCTTCATTATTTTCTAGAACCGGAAGTGAATGTAGGTAATTATATTCTAAAATACACCAAAACTAACTTTGAATCAAAATGATAAAATATGGGTGAAGAACTTCCAATATGCCACCAGTGACCAGTCAACTACCAAGCATAATGACAGACATAGTATTGATATTTAGAATTCAATAATACACTGAAATTGGTGTAACGTGCATCCTCTTTTTACCATTAGGTAATCTAAGATTCTAAATTATCTAATAGTAAAATGTTTAAACACGAGTTTCATTGTTTTTCTTCTTTAAGTTGAGCATTTCTTTTATGTAAAAAATTAAACTCATAAGTCCTGTCCCCACTATTTAAAAGCTAAAACCTCTGTTCTATGAAAATAAAATCCTGTCTATTAGCTTAGCTGTGTGAAAGATATAACAAATTATAATGTAATTCAAACAAACTTATTTTTAAGTCCAAACAAAATATGTTAGCATTTTTACGCACTCTTCAAATTCCCATTCTTGAAAATTGAAATTTGTTAGCATTTTTACGCACATCAACACCAAAACCCAAAAAAAAACAAATAATAATAATAAAGATTGAAAGAAGGAGTAACCACTCACCGGACATTGACCGGTCCGAAAGTCTGATACCTGAAGTTCGTGGTGTGAATTTGGAGCAAGAAGAAATGAGGATTGAGGAAAAGGGTTTGGTAATTTGGGGGAAATTCAGAATTTCTTGCTGCTGCCTCTCGTGACTACTGACTCGTCTTCTGCTGGCCCTGGGAATGAAAAATGAAAGTTAAAACCAAATAAAATGGGTTATGGACTAACGGGTTGGCTAATACTCTCCTGGGCCTCATAAATTAACTAAAAATCGGCCCAGAATTTAATATACTTAAGCCCAACGGCCAAACCCAACCAAAAAATTTAAAACCCGGCTGAGCGGCTCCGTCTTCATCTTCCTTCTTCAGAGAATCAAAGTTCTTCTGTTCTTCAATCTTCTCCAATGGCGCAAGTCTGCAACTCCTTAGACCTTACTTACCCGGCGGATTTGCAGATTCCGGCGAAGCCAGCACGCGCGGCCGCGCTCCCTCGCCGGGTGCTGGCTCCGCGCCTGTTCCAACATGCTTAAAACATATTTTTTATGTATAAAATAATATTAACCATAAATTTCTCAAACATACTTCGTATTGTACAATAGTTGACATGCGAATGGAACTTTTTGCATTGACGTATATACATATCTAAGATTTTTCTTTCTTTCTATTTTTTTTTTTTTGGGGGCAATACTTCCACCATAAAAATATGTGGTATGCAATCTTCCGTGTTTAACTTTGTCCTACCTTTCAAAGATCAACGTCAAGTTTTAATAGGTGGTTGACATTTTGTGGGTTCGTTGCACGTACATATTTTTGGTACCGCGAGAAAATAGATATCGTTTTGATATGAAACAACATAATTTCAAAATTAAACGCTACCAGAAATCTCAACAATTGAGTAATGAAAATTCGATGCAATAGACAAATTTTTGTTCATTATGTGATTGTTAATGCATATTCAATATAAACGAAACAAAGTCTACATATTCCATGATTCTGTCACATCAATTTGTTTAGAAATCTTGCAAGTAGGATTGTTTACTTTTCAGGACAACAATGTTTTCAATTAATAAATTATGATGAAAAAATAAGTTTGATGTACTTATCTAAGGATTAATCTCCTCATACTGGGAGATAATAGTATAATACATTGAGATTGATATGAAGACAAGTGACAGAGAAGAATTGCTTAGGACAAAATTGTTTTTGTTCCGGATCCAATGAATTAATGTCATCTGTCTCTCTGTATATGTAGCACGCTTCCTTATCTCATGTTTCATGGACCCACTATGCACAGCTACAACATCATAATATTATATTTTCATCGTTCATTTTATATGCTAAAATTTTACAAGAGGAAAAAATAAAAAATTTATTCGCAGTTGAAGTAAGTGGATAAAAATCACAAAAATAAAATAAAATGAAATAAAAAAATAATGTTTAGACTAAAAAATCATCAAAATTTCATAATGCCACCTTTTCCATATGAATCTCAGTAATGAAACCGGTCGTCTCTTTTGTTCGACATTTTCACCCCTTTTCTAGTATATAAAGTCCGTATGTTAGTAGAAACCTTCACCTGTTTATTTTACCCTCTCAACTCCCAAACACCCACCCCCCCCCTTCCGTTCCCAATTCCTCCACTTCCACGACCACCTTCTTTTCCAGCTCAAGAGGCGAAAAACGAGAATGATACATAAACATTCTGCATGAAATTTTCAATATGGATCAGTAGCAGAATTAAGCACAAATCATGACCAATATACCAACCTCTCTTTCAGAAGTTTGTCTCACTATTTTTCGCTTAGCCATGTCCATAGCTGACCCTTGGCCATTTTCCTAAAACTTCAACATTAAAAGTTCCTGTTCAAAGGCGCAGGTTTTATTAACTCCATTTTCTTTTAAAAAAACATGCGTAAGATCCGAGGTTTCTCGCTCAAACACCGGGTCACCACACTTTTTCGGCGGATTTTCCGGCGGCGGTGCAGGACATCTGGTTACTGTCTTCTGGACCCGCCTGAAACCTGTCGTACTAAACGCATTTCAACGCTTATAAACTGGACCCGCAACCTCGAGACAAAAATCAAGGCTATACTTTCCAATAATCGTGGTCTGGGTTCTACCCGGGGATACCTTCGGGTTGGGCAAGAACCGATTCAAGGAAAGCCCGTGCCCGTTCCAAAAGGGCATATGGCCGTGTATGTGGGTCAGAACGATGGAGACTTTCAGAGGATTTTGGTGCCCGTGGTGTATTTTAACCACCCTTTGTTTGGAGAATTATTGAGGGAGGCTGAAGAAGAATACGGGTTTAATCAGCCGGGTGGGATTACCATACCATGTCGGGTCTCGGAGTTTGAGCGTGTTCAGACCAGGATTAAGGCGGCTCAACGGCAACCGATAACATCCATCAGATCCTCCCGGCGTTTGATGGGCTAATGGATTCTTATTCCAATGCCTATTATGAACTGATGATGACGATATCGTTTCAGAATTTTCTTTTTTATTTAAAATTTGTTTCTCGATTTTCTATTTTTTGGTACTGTTCAATGTTTATGGGGAAATATAAATATTTGAAATTTCAAATATTATTTTTGTTACGAAAAAAGACTATAGACAATTTAAAAATATTAACAAGAATACAAGTTATACATGGAAACTCAATGTGAAAAAACTCACGAATAGAGAAGGAGAAAATTCACTATGTTAAAAATAAGTACAAGAGATGCGACTACTTTGAATGATATGATATAATGAAATCGTAATATACATCGCATATGTAACAAATAGGTTCATACCGCAGGGCTCCGTCCCACACCCCCCATAGGGATCGGTAGTGGGCTATGGAATCAGGCGATCCCTTCCACCACACATACCCCCCCCCCCTCGCTCCCTCCCTTTTTCCATAATTTTAATTTCATCACATATATTGCACAACGAGCTTTTCTTATCGGACTAAACAAAGTTTATGTCATCGTACTCTAATAGTTTTCTTGTGTTGACAAAAACGCCAAAAATTTATCACCATTGGTGGCCTTATCAAAAATAATTCTAATATTGGTTGAGAATATACAATATTAATATCAATTGGGCATTAAAAAAAGAAAGTTCCCTTTTTCTTATGGTTCCTTTGGAGTCCACTAGTCCTCATTTCCTTGTCTCACGCTATTTGACGTTCTCCATATATGTCCCTTGCTTGACACTTTTAGTTGCCGGAGCCGTCTTGTCCCCACCGCAATAACTTGGCTCCCCATACTACCCTTTGTTTAAGTACACAAGGTTACTAATATGCTCCGTGACATTGTTAGACATTAAAGACAAGAAATTATCTGTTGCCCCTAAATCAATAAACCCACGTTTGCATGTCTGGACATTGTTTAGGGCAGTGCTTAGCCATGTTTGAATATTGGATGCAGTGCACTTTGTACTAGAATCAATAGTCTTGTTGATTTTCATAATGGTAACTTCGTATAACTCTAGCCTATAACTCTAGCCAAACGGTCCGCGCAGCCTTTTCTTTAGCATTACGACATTGCGCCACTAGATCATATGCGTTAAATTTGGCGTACATGGAGCGGTCCAAGGCTAGCTAGTTGCAACAATGCCTTAAAAAAATTGGACTTTGATAGGAAATCCATTTTCAGGGTTATTATGCAAGAAGTATTCACAAGTCTCACATGGTTGTGAAAATGGGGTTTCGGCGCAATATGCCTTAATCGTAGCCGAATAATGACCACAAATGGCCGGAGAAATGAAGAATAATGCAATAACAATTATTATAATTGAAAGTGCCACTACTTGGGTTCATGAGAGTTTTTTATTGTGTATTTTCTGTCTTAATATTGTGCTTTATATAAAAGTGCATTACATGCCCTTGTTTCATTAATTACATAATATATATTTTTCTTTATGAGTCGCATGCTATTAATTACTATGTATTTATTTTGCTTATTTCTCTGTAAACAAAACTCATTCTTGATTTTGTCACGTTCATTTCATCAACGAGAATTATTAGTATCCATGAAAATGAACATGCAGTTTCGAATGAACGTCATTTTGAATTTGGTCCTATTTTCTATCATGAAAAGTTAAAATATCCTACTTTTGCACAAAAGATACTAAATAATAATAATAATAATAATAA